TATATATATATATATATAACATTCTGTAACTGTAACTTCTGTCGGTGCTGTGCTTTTGGAAACCGAATTTCCCAGAGGAACCCACCCGAGGGATTAATAAAGTTCTATCTTATCTTATCTATGGCATAAATGTTCCTCATTAACTCTCAGTTGACCTCTGACCTTCAGGTCAAGGTCACTACTACATGCAGCTATGGTATCAATTAAAGTTATCATGAAGTTTCCAGACAACTTTGACCTCGAGGTCAACGTCACTGAGATCCAGACTCATCGAGATATTTGGTAGCTGCAGCTAAAGTGTTTCAATTCCCCACAGCGCCGCGTTCTTGACTTGTTGTCCACGCCACCCGCCTGCCAGCCCACGGCGGGTGACTACAACACCCTGACGACATTCAGACAACCACAGCTCGATGCGACGAGCTAAGTCTCTGAATGGACTGCTTTACAGAAGAGTTTTGTCGATGTGGGTTCAGCTTGAAGTCCGTTTTCTTACAGTGAATCAGGTATGAGACAAACGACAGGATCAGTTGTTCTCACCGAGACAGGATTCCCACAAAGTTGTTGGGACTGGAGGAATGGAGAAGTGGCTTAACATTCCCCAGCTCGCTCTTAAAGGTCTGAAGCTCCACCCCTCGGCCGACACGCACAATCTGCTGGATCTGCACCCTGCTGCGAAACACAGATTAAAGCGAGGGAACATCTGTGAAAGAGATCTTTGTGCCGTTGCATACAGAAGACATGCGCCAGAAAACTGAAGACAGATCATTGTGAACACGTTGGCTCGTTTACCTCTGCAACGACCGGCTTCTTACAGCAGGGATAATAATACATTTTATTTAAAAGCGCCTTTCAAAACACCCAAGGATGCTGTACAGCAAATAAAACAGGCATAAAAACATGAAATATACACAATAATAAGAGCAGCAGACAGAAAGTTTACGTTCGTGGATGAGTTATATGGAGTAGGCAATTTTCAACAGGTGGGTTTTGAGGTTGGACTTAAAAAGAGGGAATAAAGTGATGTTTCTGAGGTCGGGGGAACTCCAAAGTGAAGGGGCAGAGCACCTAAAAGCATGTGAATGTGTGTGTGAATGTGTGTGTGAATGGGTGGATGACTGGATGTGTAAAGCGCTATACAAATACAGGCCATTTACCATTTGTACATGATAAGGAAATGCTGCTGTGATGAAAGAGCTGCTCTCAGAAGTAAATGTGTAAAATGACAGAAACCTATAATGTGTAGTACGAATGGCCACGAGGGAGATCTTTCTCAGGAGGAAAAGCTGTCTCTTCACATTTTCCAAAGCCATCCAAAATGCTGGATTGGAGTCTTTGGCCCCCAGTTTGACACCCCTGTGTTAGGACAACATCTATATTAAAGTGGCAGGGGTGTGGTCTGTGGCCTGCTGCAGTGGAGGGGCGGTACAGAGGTGTGGCACAGAGGGCAGGTGTGAGTGCTCAACGTAATCATCTTCTTCTTCTCTGCGTATATAAACTCTCTCGTTTGGCTCTCAGCGAAGGTGGTCGCACTTTTCTCCTCTCCTTATCTTCCCTGCTTTGCTTCTTATGTCCTTGTCTTGTGCTTTTTTCACTTCCCTGGAACACTCTCTCACAGTCTGTGTCTAAAAACCTAAAAGAGAATTATGGAGTTGATCAACTGGTCTCTGAATGCTATCGACACCCTTTTCTCAACGAGAAGTCTGAGCTCGGGAGAGCCCGAGTGCCCTGGAGGGACTTTCCCTGCCGGATACACGATGGACGGGTGGCAGAAATGGAGGATCGTGTGCCTGACGGGACTGTCGATCGAGGACGCTGAAGATATCTACCTATTCGGAACCATGATAACAGGGTTCTTGCTGATCGGAGCTGGCTTGGCCCTGGCTTATCGGAGAATTAAGAGAGCGGAACCGGCTGTTCAAACCCCCACAAGGCTGCCCGCTGGGATTGGAACGACAGGTGCGACTTCTCAGAAAGGGCTCACTGAAGGCAGCATGGTTAAGAGCTTGGAGGCGCTTACGACTGCAGTGAAGGCTCAGAATAACACCTCTGAGCGTATATTGGAGTACATCAGGGAAGAACACTCGGAACAACACCTCTGGGCGGAAGCTGGATTACATCATGGATCAGTTGGCTGCGGTCGTGAGGTCTTAGAATCTGCTCTGTGAGCAAAAGACTGAAAAGACCACAGAACTGAAGGTTAATAACATCACGGAGAAACTCGCAGCTATCCAACGGGAGATTGAGACCAGTGTCGGTGTCGGAGTGTTAAAAACAGCTTGAAATTCTCATGAGTTGTTTGTAAAAGAAAAATGACCATCATAACCCGGCTACCCCTTCAGCGCCAGCTGTGGGCTCAAAGCCGGAGCTGAACAACAACTCCCTGATAACGACTGTGTTTACTCTGTTCCTTCCCGTTCCATGCAAGGCCACCTGGGTTGGCTGGAAGACTGTTTACTTAGCCTGGCAGGGCGGAGGACACTGTCTCAGCTGAATTATGGACACGCACACACATGCATATACTGATAAGCACACACTCATCCCCCTCCCTTTCCAAACGCCTTGGATGCTTGTTTCCTGCGAGGGAACACGGCGGGTCTGAGCCCGCGCTGGAATGGTAGCGCTGTGCAGGGCGGCTGCTGTGTTCGCTTCAGATTACTCCTCACCCCCCACCCAATGTTGTGCTGTGGACATTTATGTGCTCTCTGTGCAGAGGAGTTTCTTTGTTTCCCGTTTTCGTGCTGTCCTGCCATGGAAGCCCAGAATGAGTAGAGGTCTCTGTTTTTCCTCTTGTACTTTCCCATTGTAGTGTATATTTCAGTGTTTTTCTGTAACGCTCCCGATCTCCGACTTGTCTCCCCATGTGATGTCTGTGTTGTGTGTGTAAGGTCGGGGGGGTCCCATTTCACTGCAGGGCAACCTGCATGTGGCGAATAAAGCTTTGATTGATTGGTGTATATATAGTGACAGCGGAGATGGAGGAGGGTGTGTGGAATGCAGCAGCTATTCCTGAGTGACCACAAAACGTCAAAACAACATGAAATCCTGTGTGTGTTGGGTCCTTATCACAATATGTCACCATGAATTTGAATGTGTCGCTGTTACTTAATCCTCGTTTGGAAAGTAGACGTGAAACTACCTGTCCTGCAGGAGATCGGTCACAGCCTGAAACTCGGAGCTACTGGGGGGAACTGTCTCAACGCTGCACCTCAGAGCTCGATACTTCCCCACAGTGGAAGGGGTGGGGCTCCTCAGAGTCATCTCACTTGCATTCAGAACATCTCGGATTAACTGGAGGAAATCAAATCGTTGTTTTGTGTTAGTCTAAAGATACAAAGAGAAGACAGAGGCTGAGCTGATATCATGGACTTGTGCACTGGAGTGGGGGATTTGTGATGTTGTCCAATCATCATCCTCCTCTGGCCCTTCAAACAGACTTTTAACCTTTGAAGTCGTCGTGTACTTTTTTCTTTAATGTTTTCTATAAATGTGTGATGATATCTGAGACACAGGACAGAGCCAGGAAGCACTCAGCTTACACCAGTGCTGCGGCGCTAGCTTGGTTAGCATTTTACTGTGTTAATATGTTTTAGTAGCAAAAGCTGAAAAGCTGAAAAGTTCTTAAGAGGAACAGTGAACCGGAATAGCTGAAGCCCAAACATCTCTGGATGAATGAAGAAATGCATGCTGGGATTGTTTTGGTCGTCTGTAGTGTATGTCGCAGTGCACAGGACGGTCAGGTTGACTCTAACGTTTATCCACCTGTTTGACATTTTCTAAACCAAATTTTTATATTTCACTGTAAAAGCGATCAAAAAATTGTGAAATGTTTTTGTGAAAAAGCTCCATCTCCTGGTGGAGTTAAAGGGTCGTAGTTCATAGTGCAACGTTCCTCCTTCAGAAACACTCCCAGCAGCTGGGAGAGGCCTTATGTGTACTTTACATCACGTGCATGCCTCACATTTACCTTTAAGATTTTATGGAACTGTTTCTTACATGGTGCCAAAGCGGTGGAACCAGTCGGTGCTCTCGGTGTTTTTGCAAGTTGTATTGTGATAGTTTTGTTGGCTTTTCTGTCCTGGCTCAGTCACACTGCATCTCTGACAGAAATCATTCTGCAGGATATTTTTCTCAGTACGTGTGACGTCAGTCGGCGTGTCTCAGAGCCGTGTGCGTGGTACCTGACAGAGGTCCAGTTTCTGAGAGATGAGCTTGGTGCTGGGAAATATGGAGGGTTGTCTGTGTGGCAGCAGAGTGTAGACGTCCTCCAGGAGACTCATCAGCTCAGTGTGGTTTCCCTCTGTCAGCTTCTTCTGAGCCTGAAGCAACAAGCCCTCTGCCCTGCTCACCTGCGCACACACACACGTGCGCACACGCACGCACACACACACACGCACACACACACGGTCCTATCAGGTCAGGCTGATGGGAAAGCTGCAGTTTCTCTCAGTGGTCACCGTCAGCAGCTCCACGTTTTACAAACAGAGAAACTCTTACATCATTCAGGCTGAGCTTGTCCACTGAAACTCTGAGGATGTTGTCGAGGCAGCCCAGCGCCTCGGTCCACAGCAGCTCCACAAACACACCCACTTCCTGTGATAAGGTTCCTGTGTTGAGCTTCTCTTCCAGGAGCAGCTGTCAATCAAACAGAGCATGTATCATCCAACTGCTGAGCAGCACAGATGGAGGTCTCAGATGTCATACGTGCTACTAAGAAACAGGATTTCCCACGTTCTCTCGTCCAGAAACATGAATTCAGTCATTTTAGTTTAAAGCAGATTTGGACACACGTCCAAAACGCTCGTGTTTTCCTTCTATGTTACTTTTAGAAAACTTTAATCTGAGCACAAATATAAAATGTGACACGAACACATAAAGCAGAGCATCTGATGTGACGGTGACATTCTTAATAAATCTGTACTGAACCCGATCCACCCACAGCTTTGTACTGTAAACTGCTGCAATACAGTTTAACAGAGAGAAAGATAGCTGTAGTAAAGGTTGATGATTTAGGCCACAGTGGTTGGTGGGAGTGTACTTTGTAATATTGTGTCCTCTTAATATGTCAAAAATTATAACCAGTGTTGATATTCAACAATATTGCTCATTGGAAAAACCGATAATTCATTAAACCTCAGAAAGAACGTGGGAAACATTTTGTATTGAAGAGAATTTCTTTAAACTTTAATTCTTCAAATAAAAAACGAGTGAAGTAAATAAAGGTGAGTCTAAAAGCTGAGAGCAAAGATGTGATGAAATGTTCATCAGTGAGTGTGTCAGACCTGCTGCAGGGGCGCAGAGCCCATCTCACAGGCAGAAGGAGGAAACCTGCTCTGCCTCCGGAGACCTGAAGCCTCCAGGCTGTCTCTCAGGGCCTGGAACACCTCCAGAGCTTCCTCTGAGGTGGACAAAAACACCAGCTTGTCCCTCACGGCCTTCTTCTGTGAAACACAAGTATGTGTGCAAAAAAAGACCACAAAATCAAAGGTCTATGCAAGCAGTGACATGTGATTGTGCTGACAGTGCACTGTGGAACACGTCTTCCTGTTTTGCAGACAGTCCCTGCTTACTTGTCTCAGACCTGGCTGCACAGAGAACAGCAACACTGCCGTTAGTGCAGCTCGGAGGACGTCTCAAAGCTGCTGTCCATCTGAAGGACCCAGACTACGATAGTCGTCCTGACCCTCCAGCTGAGCTTATCAGTCTGTCAGCTGTTTGAGGTCACACTGAATAAAAAGTCTATTTTGTAAAATCTGGTGTTTGAAACATCTTTTATACTGTCTATGCACACAATCCTTCAGGTATGAGCAGTGACAGATGGGCTGCTATTGTACGGTGTGTGGGGTGAGCAGATTTTCCTGGAGAAACAGGAAGTCACCAGGAGTTGGTCGTAACCCTTCTAGGTTTGGCACAGGACTCGTTTAAGCACTGCTGATGATTTCGAGCTCACCTGGGGCGCACTGACAGAGTGTGCACATGACACAAAGTATTTCACCAGCACTGCGTGACACTGACGTTACATTTGTGACCGATTGGTTTTTTCTGTCAGGAGATTTCATCGCACTAATATTTGTTGGACCTGAAGACGAGCAGTTAAAGAAGCAACACTACGCTCTCTGCAGGGATCCAGCTCAGCTCTCATTTCAAAAGACAAATGTACATTTATAGAGTTTCACATCAGGACACAGAAAACATGAACCAGAGTGGAACCGAGTCAGTCTCACACATGTATACACATGTAAAAACACTTCTTACCTCACAGAGTATATCATCCTTCCAGTATCTGACCACACGGTACTGCCGCCCCTCCTTCCCTTTGAAGCTCTGCAGCTCCAGAACACACCAACTGTTGCTGTTTACCTACAGCGCATATGTTTAATACCAGTAAGAGTCATTACAGTAATTATTGCTGTGGGAATGTCATTAGTAGTAAGCTACAAAAATGTTCTTTTACCTTTTCAAAGATTGAATACTTTGCCACTTGAAAGTCACTTTGGTCTGATGGAAGATCCGAATCAGTGTCTCTATAAATTCTGTCAAGATGAACATTTCAAACATCAGCTGTCTTCTGAGGCGCCATGACTGGACAAAGCTTATCAGAGCAGTTATCTGCACTATTAAACCAATCTAATAACTACAGCAGCTTAGAGAACAAACAGTTCAGGTTTTTAACCAGGCCAATGTTTCCAGATCTGAACCCAACGTGGGCGGGGCTTACAGAGAAAGCTGTCTGTGCTGCAGTTCAATGCAGTACCAGCAGATGGAGACACCTGATTTCAAGCCAACATGACAATAATCACAGTCACAATCTTTGTATTACTGTAGGCTCTACCTCACAATATAAAGACACCACTGTTGTTGTCATGTGGTGCTGTATAAACATGTAATTACATATTAGCAGCCCAGCTTTATCCTTTCTGGCACAGAAGGACGCTGGGATGTACTTCGTGCCTTTACTAGTGATTCTTGACTTTAAATATATTGTCTCCTCCTGCTGGTAAAGCAACTTCTGCTTGTGTCCACTTCACACTCGGCAGAGGCAAAGTGTGAAACGCACACGGTGCACCTATTACACGCCTATTACACGCCTATTACACGCGTAATCGCTCACATGAACCCAGTTTGTGTGTAAATCAGAGCAGAATGAACTTGGCTGTTAACCATGTACCACATCCAGGTTCTTGAACCAGAATCAGACACATATCTGATCCAAAATATTAGATCACTGCATCCCTGGTACTTTGTCCTGTACCATGACAGGTCAGAGGTGTCTTCATAACTCAGGGTGTCGACATTAACAGACAGATGGTCCTAATGTAACTCACTAACAGACAGATGGCGTCTCTCACCTGAACCTGTCCAGCACATTCCCACTCCTCTCAGGACTCTCTGCCCTCTGAGTCCCACTGACACACTCCACAGGTTGGGCCCGACCTTTTGACCCTGCAGTATGGACACACACACAGTTTAATAATTAACTCCATATCACGTTGTGCATAGATCTTTGCACACACCGAGTAGCAAACAGGTTCTTATATATTTGCACAACAGTGCTGCATCAGCTTTAAACACAATGTGAATGTGTAACACTGCACACAGCTGCACACAGCTGCACACACCCATGTTCATCTGACCTAATAAAACTAGTTCAACCTGCTGGCTGAGTCTGCTGAACATTTTTAATGTGAATGTATTTCAATCAGTGTGGGGGGACGATGTTACTGAACAGCAAAGGAAATATCAGTCATTGTGCTGCATGTGGGTAGAATTAGCAGCTTGTCTGTGTCTGTAACGCAAATTAATGGAAAAAAAAATACAGAAATAAATGAAACTGTAAAGATCTGCTTAGTGGTGCTTTCTATACAGACCTATCTGCTGAGGTGCGAGTGAAGCCAGTGGAGCCGCCTTGAAGGAGGAGCGATGAAGAGGACCTGATAAGGCAGAGGACGTGTCCAGCTTGTATTCATCTACCTGCAGGAGAACTCCTCTCTCCACACACCTGTACACGTAATCCACCCCGACCACAGGTGTGTGGTGTTTCTGAATGCTACGCAGCCTGTTGGAGCTTAGGTTGGATACATCGGTTGTCACTACCAAAGAGCACTGTGGGCAATGTAGGAAGAAATGAGAGAGAAGTCTAAGATTTTTAAATGTATTTATTGGTTTTTGGTCTGAACATAAAGATAAGATAAGATAAGCTGCAGAATGCACACACTGCAGCTTTGTAGCTGAAAGCACAACACAATCCAAAAGGCGGTTTGCACTGCTGGCCTGTGTTGGTCAGTCAGTGTGCAAATATATACTTTTACCAAAATAATGAATTGCTGAAGCTTCCCATCAGAAGAGAACCTAGTTCTATTAGGTCAGACTTCAGCATCTGCACCATCGTCACTAACACAGAGGGACGTCCTTCTGCAGAATGAGCGCTTTTGCTCACTCGTGCGCTTCTGTTGGTACCAGACAGTCCTGTGAGGCTGCAGGCTCCATGGAAGTGCAGCCGATTCATGACCAACTATTAACTACATGTTTCTATAGATGTGGGAGAATTCTAGTGTTGAATGACTTCGATCATTCGTGGTGCAGCTCTGGCATGGTTTCAAAATCTACGAATATGTTGTGAACATTATACTGAAATAGTCACGTGCTGCAGCTCGATATGGACGCAGCAGGTACCAAAGAAAAAAGCTCTTTTTAAGTAAAGTTGTTTAGTAAAGTTTCCTTTGAGCATTCCGCCGTGAGGAGTCCCCCCTCCCCCCGCGCTGACAGCTCTCTGACCTGTTTGTTGACCACAAACGAAAGGCTGCCTCCGTGATCTGTGACTGCTGATTTCACCGTCTTCTTCTCCTTGAACGACAAACCTCTGAGTTCGAACAGCACCGAGCAGTTGTCGAACACCGCCATGTCTGGAGACGTGTGTCACACAGCTGCGCTGAGAAAACCCCTGCTGGCGCTTCCACCAACTCCTGTTAAAATGCGGAAGTAACTCGCAGCAAAAAGTAACAAAGTAACAGATCAGTTAGAGAACAGCCACGCGGGACTCGTGCTCGTTAGTAAACAAATACGACGAATACAACAAAGCATCGACACGATCAGAAACAGCAAAGTAAAGGTACTGACGAAACACCCGAAGCACGCACTCGTCCAGTGACTAAAAGGGAGCAGCAACATTTAACTTCCTGTCTGGTTCGGTTTTCAAAATAAAGGTCGTGACGTTAACAGAGGCGTTTCCGTTCTCGAACACGTCCACGACAAATCAGTGTCGAATCAGACTGAAATGTCACAGATATTCAGACATTAACACAGTGGTTCCCAAACTTTTTTTGCTGGGCCCCCTTTGTTTTACAAGAAAAATGTTCGCCCCCCCCCCACACACACATCTGTGGTGTAATTGCATTGTACAGTAGATGTTAATGCAGCCGGTCAGTGTAGTTAGACTGATGGCAGCTAGAGGGCGAGACCGGTGTGTTTCTGTATAGAATGTTATGTTATGTGGGGCAGAGGAAGAACAAGGAAATAAAGTGTGGTTATGAATCGTACAGTGGACCCGCGTATAATTGAATAACACGACATGGTGTCAGAAGTCCTGTACTGATCCATATAACCTCGACTGAACGAACCTGTGTCTGGCGGAGCTCGCGGAATAACACCGAGGGGAGAATATGGCGGATGAGACTGCACAGAGAGCACCGGCGGGGCCGAGCACGACATTCAGCATCCAGCCACCGGAATCCTTCGACTTTTCAAAACCGCAGGAGTGGTCCAAATGGATACGGAGGTTCGAGAGATTCCGTCTCGCCAGTAATTTGAACGTCAGCTCGGAGGAAAACCAAGTCA